TGGGGTTTAACGTCCACTCGACACAAAATAGGTCATTTCGGGACTAACATATGGTTTAATTTTATTTAAATAATTCGCTTGCGCGTAGGGGTCTTTAGCAGTGGGACGAACCCGGAGGTCCCGGAGAAAACCCACAAGGTTGGACAGGCGACCGTACTCCTTGTCTTTATCCTAAGCGATTTTTGCACAGCAATTGAGATCGCGCGAAATGCCACTGCAAATGGGAATTTCTATATGGAGTCTTAAAAGACGTAAAAGATATTGCAGACTAAATGACTGTCTATTGATTTGGGGTGTTTTGTACTCTTACGAAATGTGACATCTAGCTTATCCATGCTGTCGGTTGGTACATGCTGTGATTGAAATGTAAAAGTCAATGTAGAAACCACAAGTTTAAGACTTAGATTAAAATTATAATCACTCTTATTGGATTGATGAATAGTCCGATAAAGGGAAAGCAATGACTTCTGTTTGAGATTGGATTGATGAACTGTCCGAAAAAGGATAAGTCAGCCAATCAAGACAGATTAAGTAGTTAATCAAGGTAGGTGTAAGACGGTATAACACGTTAAATACGTTGATCACTTAATTACCTAATCAATCCAGCCTATTATCAACGATAATCGGGTTGAGTTGTAGCTGTACACTCAGTAGACTACATGTATATTAATTTTGGAATTTTGAATATTATTCACCATGTCTTGATGTCCGATTGGGCATATTCAAGGTCGGACAAGTTTGGGCGTTTGGAAATAGCGTCGGACAAGTCCGGAATATACAGGCGAAATCCCATCACTGGTCTGGTTGGATGGGGTTTGAGAGAATGAATTATTATAATGCATGTATCCTTTGTATCAGAGCTTAATATAAAACTTTAATCAAGAAACTTGTATTTGTTTTTCCCGTAAGTGATACTAATTAAAATGCAGTATAATCAATCACAACTTGAACCAGTTAAAGAATTACAAATGCGACCAGAGACAATACTATACAATCAAGGGCTGTTCTAAAATATGTAGTAAAGATACATTATGGGAGATATTTATAGAGAGTTGGCCATTCTTGCTATAACAGTTCAAAAGTAGATGATGAAAGAAGAATATATTGAACAAGCCAACAGTGAGGCTGATGTCCCCCGCCGAAATAGGAAAATAATTAGAGGACACATATAAAAATCAAATTGCGTATCGCTCTGCTTACCCTGAGCAGAAAATGCTCATTATCAAACTTAGTCAAGGTATTACTGTAATATAACTATACACCAAGTTTCATCAATCTCACTTAATTAGAACTAAAGTTATCGTGTCCCAAAGCATCAACCAATCAAATTGCTTATCTCTGCTTACCCTAAGCGGAAAATGCTCATCTTCGAACTCCATCAAGGCATTGACCTAATCAACACATACACCAAGTTTGAACATTCTAGCTCAATTAGGACGAGAGTTATCGTGCCCCAAAGTATCAACCAATCAAATTGCTTATCTCTGCTTACCCTAAGCGGAAAATGCTCATCTTCGAACTCCATCAAGGCATTGACCTAATAAACACATACACCAAGTTTGAACATTCTAGCTCAATTAAAAGTTATCGTGTCCCAAAGCATCAACCAATCAAATTGCTCATCTCTGCTTACCCTAAGCGGAAAATGCTCATCTTCGAACTCCATCAAGGCATTGACCTAATCAACACATACACCAAGTTTGAACATTCTAGCCCAATTAGGAAGAGAGTTATCGTGTCCCAAAGCATCAACCAATCAAATTGCTTATCTCTGCTTACCCTAAGCGGAAAATGCTCATCTTTGAACTCCATCAAGGCATTGACCTATTAAACACATACACCAAGTTTGAACATTCTAGCTCAATTAGGAAGAGAGTTATTGTGTCCCAAAAAGTGTGACGGACAGACAGACGGACGGACAGACAGACAGACAGACAGACAGACAGACAGACAGACAGACAGACGGACGAACCCATTTTAATAGTCCCCTGCTTTCTTCGAAAGGCGGGGGACAAAAATTCAGTCAAATTACTTTATTCTGAACATAGTTATCATCGTTGTAATATTTGCCTAGAAATGGTAGCGAAATGTGTATTCACCTTCGCCGAACGTTTGATTGACAGGAGTTAACTCCACCTACATATCTCGATTATCAAGTAAAGTTTTCAATGGCATACGGAAACGCTTTACAGCGGCCTCGCTTAGTACACTCTATCATTTAGCCTCGATCTAACTGACGTATTTTCATCAGGTTACCCCTTAATCAATTAGTGAAATCCTATTTAAATCCGAGCTGTAGACGAGCCATCCGTGGGTCTACAGAGTTGATTTTGGTCTTGTTGGTTAAATAAAGATCTAATTTATAATTTCTATAACATCTGAAGCCTAAATTAAGACTTGCAATAATCAGATTTAGCTCTTGCATAATGCATGTTTAAGTAGTGTTAAATCTTGAATGATGCCGAGTAATGGCAACATTCAATTCAATCCTATTGGCAGACTTTAATGTGGTTGGTGGTGGAGCATCTCGACTGACCAATACCTGAGCAGCTTTGTAAGAGGGAAATGCTTCTCGAAGCTCCATTACTTCTCGCAGAAGATCCTTTACATAACCTAGAACAAAGATGATATGTTTAAGAATCTAATTGTTATATCCCAAAAGTATTTGCCATTTTGGCTTCGATTTGCTACCATTAAGTACTTTGTGAAATGAAATGAAATGGGGTTTAACGTCCTACTGTTCTGCTCCTATACTGGGCTAATGAAGACGGGCATACGCCATACAGTGTGCTATGAGGGAAATTTTGCCCGGGCAGTGGCACTATCGCCTACTCTTATATCGAATTCCAACTGCCAAGGGATCTTTTACGTTCATTCCAATGTTTACACGGGACCTCGGTTTTTCGTCTCATCCGAAAGACTAGACAGCTGTCCTTGTCAGGCCCTCCGTCCTGCATCACTGACAAGGGGAAACCACGTCGGAAAATCTGGATGAACTTTCTCGGCCAATACAGGGATCGAACACCCGACCTCCAGGCTAGGGAGCCAGCACCTTACCCACCTAGCCACCGTGGCTCCAAGTACTTCGTAATAGTACTGTATTTCGTAATAGTACTGTATTGTGAATTGTGTCACAGCCTGTGTAGCGTTTTAGTTGGTGTAAATAATAAGAACAGACTGACCACAATTTAGACACTATTTAACCTGGTGTAAAAACAACAGAAAACAAACCACCATGATAATGATCTTATTACTTATAAATTGATCTTCCATCAATATTCACTCCAAATCCACACAACTGTAACCATTATTCAAACTAAATATTATCCAAATCGTAGTTTTCATCCAAGTTTAGAATAAGCTTTATTATTTTGAAGAAACCTGACTCCATACCGTAAGAACATGAATCCAATACAGGCTTCAAAGTGTGGTCTCCATGTTTGGCTTTTGGGTAAGCTATCTTCCATTTGGCAGTACCATCCCTTTTAGTAGCCTGTTGTCTAACACAGTTTTCATTGTTATGCATTGCAGCCAATAACAATCTGTAATTATAGCAATTAGCATCCAAATTGTAATACTAATGATATTGTATCAGAATCAGATAAATAAATATTATTTATGCAGACTTTTATATTGATATGTTGAAAACAGGGCATTGTTGTTTGTACTTTAACTTTCATATGACAAACCTTTCAGAAACCTTTCAGGCTAGACAACACTTACCTTGCATTCATGGCATCATAAAAAAAAGTGTTGGAATTTGGGTGCAAATTGGCAGACAACTTTGTGGTAAGATTCCAATTTGGATGTCTGCTCGGCTGGGGACAACTTTTGAATATCTTTCATAAAACTTTTTTTCAATTAACACTCTTTCAGTAACTTGTGTGCTTTTGATCCTGTTTGTAAAAAAGAAAATACCCCTGCTTTTATAATGTAAACACTATTATGTTAAAGGGACAATAACACTCTTGCTGGCTTGACAGCCCCAGAAAATAAAAAATAGCCTTATTCTAAGTACTAGAAGTGTTAGTGTCCTACCTGTTGTGTAAATTATCCATTAAATCCTATTTTACTTGTCCAGGGGGTTCAAAAATATTTTTAAATCGAAGTTTCATTTGAAAAGCCTTACGTTAGACGTTTCAAACCATTATGTTGAATTTTTCAAAATTTTTAAATAAGGTGTGTTAAGATGAAATTTGTATCATCAATTAACTGAAATATTCTAAAATAGTACAATTTGTTGACCAGAATAAAGATTGGGACATATTATTCAGTTACAACAAGAGTGGTATTGAGCCTTTAACAAGGCTTAGGCCTACTGACAAAAACAATTAATATTCTAAGTTGATCATAATACAAAGGATATAATGATTACCTGCTTGTCATAAATATAATCATTAATTTTAATGGGCAACATGAAAAATATAAAGTATCCCACCTTTCTTGATCCAATGACGGTCTAGGTGTTCATGTTGGCATCTTTGATATAGCTCACCATGTCCATCATGAAGATTGGCCACATGATTTGTTATTGACTTCCATTTTGCCTCTACCAAATCACCATCTCCATCACTGCTAGCAGCTGCCCAATACAAATGATTAGATATGGATTGTGCCCATTCTTCAATCTGTTCACAGCCTTTCTTCTTAGATAATAGTATCAGTTTCTTATAAACACCTGAAATTTTTTTTTATAAATGACTAAGACATAAAATAGTTTGGTGATTTTCATGCCTGAAAATAACAATTTATATATAGACTCAATGTCAGGCCATAATAAAGATTTTGAACTTTATGCAGAACATATTATAGATATTGATAACATTGAAAAAGACAAATTTGTACAAGACAAAATGACAGGAATCACGTAAAGAGATTGTGGAGCCTGATTTAAGGCTTTAATTTGTGTCTAACAATGTCTGTGACAAGGGCCTTATTTTTCAGGCTTGGTCATTTGGAGACTAAAATGCAGTTAATTTTACACTTGGCTGCTCTGCAATGTTACATTTTGGTTTTAAAGTCATTTATTATTATCTACATGTATACACACACTGTGTTTTACAAACGTGACTCATTATTTATTACCTTTAGCAACATGCCACACATCAAACCAATGATTTATATCTGGTTCCATAGTTCTCATGTGCTTTCTCACTGAACAATGTCTGTCTGTAGTTAGGTCTGTTGCTTGAACTCCCTTTCCTTTCAGAGCCTCTAGTCCCCGAATCAGACCCTCTTTCTCCATTGCGTATGAATTATTAACTTCTGTAACCTATTTGTTTTATTATATATAAATATAAACATTGAAAGAAAATGAAATGAAAAGAGAATTTACCGTCCTTTTTACCACTGATAGTTTTTAGTTACTGAAGGTGGTGCTAATAGAATTTTAAAAAATCAGTTTTATAAATAGAGCAGACAACTTTGCTGATTGTAGGTGTCCAAAAGGGTCTGACAACCCTCTGTGTTTTATATAATATTAGTGTAATTGTTCAGTAATTCGCTTGTGCGTAGGGGTCTTAAGCAGTGTAAAGAAACCAGATCGACACGAAGAAAGCCCATGAGGTTCGGCAGCTTACACTATTCCATGTCACGTACAAGCTTGGGATCAAATCCATGTCACTTGACTCAATGGCAGATATTATGATCTAAAGCATGCATGTTAGACCACTAAGCTATCTGTTAATTAATTGTTGGTTTCCTTTACCTGTATCAGTTGCACATCTAAGACAATTCCACTCTCCAAATCCATAAGAGAATAACTACCATATTTAGCTGTGTGGCCTGGTGAACAACACCTAGCATCCCCTCCAAGTTTTACATTTCTCCCTTTAACTTCTCTTACTGCTGCCATTTGCCAAAGTGACCAAACATTCTTAACAGCTGGTACCAGGTAACAAGACTGAATATGTCTGTATGTTCTGTCTGTAAATGAAGACACATTTATTCTGTTCAACACATTAAGAATGTTTGTGACACTAGCACCTGAAAACAGGATACTTGCAGAAAGTAACAAGTTTCCTAATGGTAACTGATTGTTTGATGGCTGACTACTCCACAGAAATGTGTGCCCTGCTTCACATGTTGCCTCCATAACAACCATACTACCCACATTTTGCTTAAGCACAACTACACACTTATTGTGACATTCTCTGCACACCTCTAGAAGCTCTTTTATATTTGATTCAAAAACAATATATTTCCTTTCTTCAACCTTATCTGTGTTTAAAATATCAGTAATATTTCTGAAATAAAAACAAAATAGCAAGTTTTTAAAATGAAATCTTATAAACTCTGGCTTGTAGAGCGATTACAGGGTTTTGACGACGATATTTTGACAGTTTCTTTACTACAATACATTCTTAAATTTTGAGGAAAACGCTTCAAAATTTGGATATATGTACTTATGTACTATATATTTTTTAAAATGAAATTGGGTTAATTTCTGCTAAAACTGGGCTTATGAAGACAGTTAATAAAGCATTCAGTATATCTCTTGAATTAATGACATGTTTTTCATCACTAAATGATTATACATTATGAGCTAAATGAAAAGAATATGTATTGAAAATGCATTACAATACATGGGCACCAAATGCTGGGAAAATTTGGGCACACAATTGTACTTTGTAAAAGTTTTATAAAAAAATATTGTGTTCTTGAATGTGTCCAATTTAACAGCGAATTTATTATTATTATGTAACATACTAAGATCCTAACTAAATTTTTGGGCACCAACCACCACCGCCCCCCCAGTCAAAAATTTCCCCGTACGCCTATGGATTGAGCATATCATTGCAGTCTGAGTTTGAGATGGAAGTTTCTGTAATATTTTATAATTAACATACATTTCATTAAAAACACTATCACTATCATCACTTTCATCATCAGTCGTATATGGAAACCAATCCTCATCCTGCTTATCATTCAATTCATCATCTGTAGTGTATTCATCCTCACTGGCAGTAGAAGAAGAAACTTGAGAAACAATTTCTTGTACCACAACAGGATTCTGTGGTAACTCGTCTGTTTGGGTTGCAGCATCAGCATACTTAATAAATGAGGAGGATGTCTGACAACCTTGACTGACCACACCTCTTAATGTTTGGGTGGATTTCACATAGGTCTGGAATAATAAATAAATTCAAAATTAAGACTAACAAATTAAAGCATTACATTGTTGAGAAAATTAAATCTGCCCAATTTTCCCCACACAATTTTCTTAATTCAATGCTATAGTATAGTGTCTTGATAAAAATTTCTGTTGACCTATATACCCACAGATAATCAAGTTATGGTGTGTTCCTACACACATGTATGCTGATCATGGATGCTGATCATGGATGCTGATCACGCCTGTTTCAGTTTATCTCAATACAGACTTCCAAAATTTATTACATCCATTTTCTTATTGAAAATTATGGGCAAAAATGTAATAATAATAAAATTTCATAATTTATACCTTTGCAGATCTCTGAAGTACCACATCTGGTGATATTGAAATTGAGCTTGATTGTGGTACCGGTACTTGGTGGTCAATAATATCAGACTTATTATTACTAGTACTAGTTTCTAATAGTGGAATCAGATCATAACTTGCTCCTGTGTCTTGATTGGCTTTCCTTACTTTCCTCCCATCCTCAAAGTCAAAGTTAGAAAATATGTCTTGGAGAACCTGCCAAAAAAAGAAATTAAGCAATATTACAATCTAATAAAAATATTTGTTGAAATTATTCAGAGATTTACACAGCTATAATGTGATATTTTTTTTTCTAATTCTAGTCTTACCTTAAATTTCATAGTAGGCCCTACTAGTAGCCTACCCGAACGAGCAAATATTTAATTTTTAAGCTTCCATCAAGATTACAAAAATATAAAACCGCACTAGGCGACACTGTTGGGTTGGTTTCATATTGGCATTATTTAATTAATATTATATATTACTTTGGAGATCGACTTCACTTTATTGTGGGTAGGCCTAAATACAAATAAAACAATTTTCGAATTTACCTTATTTGACTAGTCACACCCAAGGAGTTCAAAATAGCTTGTTTACGGTATGCATAATTTAAAATCCGAGGCGAGATTCGATTTCGAAAATCTCAATCGATCAATCGACGAGATGGGCCTGGACTCCTGCCATGGGTACTCATTCATAGGCCAATATTTATGATTGCTTGTCAGTGCTATAATTTCACTTTTAATAATAAAAAAACGAACAATAGTTTATACAGTACTAGGCCTATAGGACTAATGAAATGAGTAATTGTTATCATTCTATAAATAGAAATTAAGTCACGCCCACTCTATTTATAGCGAGATGATATTATATAAATATAGGCCTCGTGCGTAAAAAATGTCAACCTACCCTTTGTCTTTCTCTCTTTCTAAAACCACCTCTCGGTGTATCAGGTCCAAGTAACGGCTCTACTCCCAGTGATAATGTCGGGAAACTATCTTTTTTTAGGCGTAAGCCTTTTGCAGTGAAATTAATAGCCTGGAGTAACAACGGGTCTTTCGTGAAACTGTCAGAACTGAAGTGCTTTGAGCAGACGTGAGAATGCTTAGATGGCTCCCAAAGCTTTTTAGAATTAGGCGTATGTGACTGTGAGCGTCTTATCTTAACTATCCATGTGTGGTAGAGATCTTTTTCCTTATCTTTGTCAGGAAATTTGAAAAAAACTTTCTCCACACCCAGTTTTACTGTTGCAATTCACAACAACACAGTGAACCATCTCCAATGTAAACAACGGGATACCGGAACCGGTCAAATGAGCAGAAGGACTAAAATGACGTCACGGCTTTTTTATTGGCGGAAAACTACGACGACTCACGGAGAACGGCGGAAATCGCTAACGTTGAAATTTACCTGTGGCAGGTAATGTTGACATTCGGGATCGTGTTATACTTATGGAAATGATATTTTGACATAATTACTTGCATTATTTAAACGATTTATGAAGCCTTTTCCGGTGACCTTTAACACTATTTAATCGTTTCCTGCCAATGCTGAGAATCTACATATTCGCATATATAAATAATATGGACGGTGTAACGTATTAATGTAATTTAATTGCATTTAATTTGTGGAATTGGTGTAAGGAAAGGAATATATGAGTCTCGGCAGCTTATTTACCTGGATCTTATAATATTGTGGCAGATTATTTGAAAGGTAACTGTGAAAAGAACTCAGAATAAAACTAGACTGTGCAGTGAACATTAATTGGATTAACTCTCAACACTGACCATGTTGGTGACTGGTGAGAACATTTTAAAATACACTAAATCTGACCTATATCAAATTAAAGAGACAATTCCAATTAAATTAAAAAGACAAATATATAGGAATATTAAACAATCCGTTCCCCAAATTTTAAGGCAGAAACCTAACAGACGAAAGAATGTCTACGGTATTCCTGTACTCATCTCTGACAGACAGAGCAGCCAGCCAAGAGGTCAACTTGGACTGAACAACCTAATTAAAGTTCCAATATCCAGATCTTCAGTTTCATATCAAACTAGCAAATATTTAAAAGCAGGATTAATTAATGCTAGATCTGTTAGGAATAAAACCAGCGACATAAATGATTTTATTGTGGATGAGGAATTGGATCTGTGCGCGATTACTGAAACATGGCTTAGCAAGAACACAGATTCGGTGACCATTTCGGCTATACTTCCAGAAGGCTACAGTTTTCTACACATTCCACGTGCGTCTAGGGGTGGTGGCGTTGGCCTTGTCTACAAATCAACTTTAAAAATATCTTTGCAGTCTAATGGGGTATTCAACTCTTTTGAGTGCCTTGATTGTTTGATATCGAACCTTAACCAATCTCTCCACCTGTTAATTGTTTATAGGCCCCCAAATTCCAATAATAACGACTTTTTTGAGGAATTTACATCCCTTCTTGAAACAAAATTATTGTCAAAGGGCGACCTGTTGATACTTGGCGACTTTAATATTCACTTCGAAAACAGTTCTGACCCACTGAGTAATCGCTTTCGGGAAATACTGCTTACCTACAACCTTCAACAACATGTCAACAAAAAGACCCATAATAGAGGTCATCTTCTTGACTTTGTCATTACACGCCAAGATGAGATACATATACATGATGTACTGGTGGAAGATACCCTACTTTCAGACCATTTTCCTATCACCTTTAAAATTCAAACCAAGAAGCCACCTTTAGACAAGAAAACAATATCGTTTCGTAAATTTAAATCTTTAAACAATGATACCTTTAGTGAAACAATTGTTACATCGAACTTTTCCGACATCTGTGAATTGTGTGATGTGAATGTAAAAGCTGATTCATACGATAAAACACTGGGAAAGATCATTGACGATCTAGTTCCGTTAACCACTAAAACATTTACTGTTAGACCAGAAAATGAGTGGAGTAACAATCAAATAGCTGAAAAAAACAAAAAACGCAGAAAAGCTGAGAAAAAGTGGCGTGAGACGTCCCTTCATATCCATAAAAACCTTGACCGAGAAGAGAAAAACAAAGTCAAATATATAATTGAACAATCAAAAGTTTCTTTCTACAATGAATAAATTCAAAATAGTGCCAACAAACAGAAAGAACTATTCTGTGTTGTTAATAAACTGATTGACCATCCCTCTGCGACTTTTGTCCTCCCTGATTGCACCGATAAATGTCTGCTAGCAGAAGAGTTTGCAAACTTCTTCTCCGATAAAATAACTCTTATACGAAAAGAACTTGATAAATTTAACAATTCATGTAATTTTGTACCTAAATACGAGACGCCAACGGTAGTGTGCATTGAAAATTTCTATTTAGTTAGCGAATCTGTTGTTTCAGATATTATTAAATCATCAGCCCCTAAAACCTGCCCTCTTGACCCCCTCCCTACATCTTTACTAAAGGAAAACCTTAATTTATTCTTACCTGTGATTACTGATATCATAAATTCTTGTATTCAAGAACGAAAGGTACCCGATTCTTTTAAAGTTGCTAATGTCGTCCCAGTTATTAAAAAATCAACTTTAGATAGAAATGTGCTAAAATATTACCGTCCTGTATCAAACTTGAGTTTTATCTCCAAAATTTTTGAAAAATGTATAGCCAGACAACTGATTGAACATATTGACACACACAACCTTCACGATAGTCTACAAAGTCTACAAAGTTTCACAGTGTTGAGGCGGCTCTTATCAAAGTGCAAGATGATATATTAAGGTCAATAGACAATAGAAACTGCGTTCTTTTGGTACTTTTAGATTTGTCCGCAGCCTTTGACACCATAGATTCTACTGTCCTGTTACAAAGACTTCAGACTTTGGTGTCAAAGGCTCTGCACTCCAGCTACTTGCGAGCTATCTTACTGATAGAAAACACAGGGTTGTTATCGGCAATGTGACGTCAGACTACCATAATAATTTATACGGGGTACCACAAGGTTCGGTCCTTGGACCCATTTTATTGACTCTTTACACTGCTCCAGTTGGTAAAATTGTTAAAAAACATGGTCTTGACTATCATATTTATGTTGATGATACCCAGTTGTATTTAAGTTTTAATCCTTTAAATGCTTTGAGCAAATTTAATATTGAGCAGTGTATCAATGAAATTAAATTATGGATGTATGTAAATTTTCTATGCTTAAATGGTGATAAAACTGAATTTATTTTGCTTGGATCTAATCATAACCTCAATACTATAACTGAATCAACTTTGATTAATATTGATGGAAATGAAATTACTCCCATTAACTCTGTTCGCAATATTGGTGCATATTTTGATAGTAAAATGACCATGTCTAATCACGTGAACAATATTTGTAAATCCTGCTACTTTCACATCCGTAATATTGGCAAAATTCGCAAATTCCTTTCCTCTGATTCAACTAAAACTCCTGTTCTTGCTTTTATTACTTCAAGACTTGATACTTTTTACTCACTTTTATCCGGCTTACCTAATAAATTAATATACAAATTACAAAAAGTTCAAAACACCGCTGCGCGACTTATTACCCTTACAAAAAGGCATGATCATATTACTCCACTGGCTACCCATTCCATATCGTATTCAATTTAAGATTCTTTTAACTGTTTATAAATGTTTTCATGGCTTAGCCCCATCTTATTTATGTCATTGAAAAACAAACAAATGCTCGTAGTCTCCGTAGTTCAAATGACATTTATCGTCTCAAGCCAAGATCTGCTAGAATGGTTACATATGGTGAAAGATCCTTTTCATTTTTAGCCCCAAACCTGTGGAATGATTTAAAACCACCTGGTTCTGATACTGATATTCGTTCCTGCCCCTCGGTACAATCTTTTAAATGTGCTCTTAAAACTTACTTATTCAAAAAAGCTTTTACTTAGATATATATTATTTTATTTTATTATATTGCATCTTTTTGTAGTCTTTTAGTTGTTTTTCTTTTTTTTGTTTTACTGGTATATGATTGTACTCATTGTCTTGTAAAGCGCTTCTGAACACCGTTGGTGAAACTAGCGCTCTATAAATGTTTAATAATAATAATAAATAATAATAATAATAATTATTTAAGTCGTTTGATGCAAAATAATGTTGAATGGACTTTAACCAATGATTATTTTCAGAAAATAGTTAATATTCGGGGTGTACCCAGAATTGATTATTATTTTTTTTTTGCCTCTAAACTTAATAAATTAGCTGTTTATGTATCATGGAAACCGCATTACGCAGCTTTTGCTAGATTATGTTTTGGGTGTATCCAGTTTTGATTTGTTTGCCTCTAAACTTAATAATAAATTATCTGTTTATGTATCCTAAAAACCGGATTACGCAGCTTTTGCTGTTGAAGCTTTTTCTATAAAGTGGTCATTTGATCTTTCTTATGCTTTTCCGCCTTTTTTCTTTAATTGGTCGAATCATACAGAAAGTCATTTTGGATCAGTCTAAGATGGTTATCATTGTTCCCTTTTGGACCACTCAGTCCTACTTTTCTGTGCTAATGCATATATACTAATCGATTCTCCTATTTGGTATTTCTAGGAAACAAGCTGCAATTATTCATCCATAAAAGGACATGTCTACTCATCTACCTCTCTTAATGTGCAGAATATTATGCAAATCTTGTAAAATCAAGAATTTTCACAAGATGTCAACTCCGTCGTCTTACAATCATGGAAAACTCAAGCCATTTCAGCAGGTGGAGCAAATCTTGTTGTTCACGGAAAATCGATACATTTTCACCACTTTTAAAATTTGTTTTAGATTTCTTGTGTGGGTTGTTTCATGCTGGTTTATCATACAGTGCTCTTAACACTGCGCGGTCTTCATTGTCTAGTTATATTAGTATGGATGGTGTCTCAGTTGGTAGTATTCCAAGTCATTAGATTTATGAAAGGATACGTCCTACGTTTCCTAAGAGTTCTGTAACTTGGGATGCACAACAGTTATTAAATATTTGAAAACTTTGGAACCAATTAGTTATAAATGTGTTATGTTGTTAGCTATTCTAAGTTACTTAGTTATAAATGTGTTATGTTGTTAGCTATTCTAAGTGGGCAGAGACCCCAAAGTGTTTTTATAGATAAAAGGAATATTATTTTAAGTCAGAATTGCCTTAAAATAAATTTTGATGGCAATCTTAAAACAACCAGTCTTGGTTGTGACCAATTTGAATTATGTTTTAATTCGTATTTTGATCAATCGTTGTGCATTGTGTTAACTCTGCAAGATTATTAAAATGGAAAGAGGAATTGCGAAATAATAATATTACCCAGATATGTTAAACCTTATAAAGCTGTGCCCAGTGGCTGGTTGCTCAAAACGGAGTTATTTAAGCGATCTGTTAAACTCTAACGGGTCGTTATTTTATTTTGCTAATGTCTCGTTTGTTAACGGTGGGTTAAATTTCTGTTGCTGGAAAGTCAAGTTCATTGTCCGTTAGCTAAAGGACTAATTAAACTTATTCCAAGAGAATGCTGTTTGGTCATTGACTGAATTTTAAATTTTGAAATTCAATGTACATGTATAAAAATTTCCTAGAAGTTAGTTAACAAGAAATTGGACAAAGTGGGACAACTGTGCAGTCTGCTCACAAGACTTGATTTGAGGATAAAAAGATAACTGTATAATTTACTACAGAAAACACTATTAAAAAAATATATAGAATACTATAGTATTTTCCTATAGAAATCTAGCAGATATAGGTAGGACAAATTATAGGATTTTCACTACAGAAACTGTAGAATATCTGATGGCGCCCACTCCCTCACCTGGAAAACTAGACTGATATCTATAGGGTAT